GGCCGGCCGGAAGTGCCCGTAAGACGCCGCCATGCGGTCCGACTCCGGAATCGCCCGGCGGGGGACACTTCCGGTAAGAGCGGTCGTCCATCCGGCGCACCCCGGAAACGCGGAAGAGAACGTTAGTTCCGGTGGGGGCCCAGCCCTGTGGAACAACCTCACCTGTGTCGCTCCACGGCGTGGCCATGGTGTGCATGTTTCCAGGTCTCGGTGTTTTTGAGCTCGCCAGGTGTGGGGATGAGGAGGAGAGACCCGGGCACTTGACCCAAGCTGGCCAGCAGGGTTATTTCATACCATGAACAGCACATTCCCTATAAATTAAAAAGTTTGCTGAGGAGGTTTTCTTGATGGCTGCCACCCTGAGAACTCCTCGCCCCGGTGCCGCAGCCCTGAGCCCTTCCCTTCCTCCCGAAGCCGCAGCACTGGCAGTGTCCCACATGGGCTGTCCCCTGCGGGGAGTGCACAGCTTCTACGGGTAGAACGGGCTGAGTATAATCCTTGTGTATTTATATTGGTATCGGGATCAATATTGGTTCTTTAGCGTCATTAATGTTAATTATTTTGGCTTATTATATTAAATCAGTTTAAATTTCAACTCTCGGGTTTCCTTGTTTTTCCCCGATTCCCCTGGGGGTGTGGGGGTCATCGGCTGAGAGAATGATTGTCTGAACGACAGTAAATTGTTGTGGGTTCCTCAAAGCATCACAGACACACACACACACACACACACACACACACAAAGGTCGGTGCTGCAAATGGCTCTTTATTGCCTTCATGGTGGGCCCGGTGGGGCCGCGCGTTCCTCGGCGCCTTCAGTAGGTGCTGAAGATGGCCTGGATGTGCTCCCCGTCCTGCGGCTTGTAAGTGCCGACCCCTGCGGCAGAGGGACGGGTGTGAGGCCGGGGCACCGCTGCCCCCCGTGCCCCCCACCCCGAGCTGCCCACCTTCCTGGAGAGCATCCGTGCTGCTGAAGAACTGCCAGTAGGTCCTGTCGTCCGAATTGCCGGCCAACCCGTGGATGGAGACCACCATGGGGCCCCAGGACGTCTGCTCCGTTTGGAAACTGCCGGGGAGACGGGTGGGCTTGAGGATCGGTCGTGGGATGCCACTGGTCCCACGGTTCCCCTCCAGATTCTCACCAAAAGACTTCGGGTTTCTCCTCCTCTGCTGCCTGCAGCACCTTGAGCAGTGTGGAGCCATCCGGGACCTGCACCGAGATGGTGTCGCTGAAGTGCTTTCCCTGCAGCGTGTTGATGATGGAGTAGTGCACCTGGATGAGAGCTGTTGGGAGGGGAGAGGGGAAGGGTGGGCTCCCGGTGCCGTGCCACGGGGCACAGGGCAGGAGCGTCCTCCCCGCGGGGTCCGGTGGGGTGTCTCAGGGTGGGGGCAGCCATACATTTGTGAACCTCAAGTGTACTCGGCATTTGGGACAGGGACGGCCGCAATCTTAGGGACGTCCTGGTGCTGGTGGTGCACTTCAGGCTGGCCGCTTCCAGGTAGGATTTGCCCACGAGGGCGGGCAGGACCTGGGCGATGGCCATGGGCTGGCGGTAGTCATGGTCGTACACCACGGAGAAGGCCTGGGCGCAGTCCCACTCCCGCGGGGCGTAAAACATTTTCGTGGAGCCCAGCGCCTGCAGAGAAGGTGGGAGGTGATGTGAGCACTCCCGGGAGTGGGACCGGGTGACCACAGCGCTGCAGCATCCCCCCGGTACCTGCAGGGCCAGCCCCATGCTGTAGATGTTCCCCATCATGCCGTCCCTCTTCTCCTGCTCATCCAGGAAGCTGTTGGTCACCTCCGACAGCGTGTCCCAGAGCAGATGCCGTAAGTCGTGCAGGTCCGTCTGGTTGTAGGTGCACGCCAGCGCCATTGCCGCCACGGCGCGGGTGTCTGCGAGATCTCGGCGTCACCGCCATGCCCTCCGAGAGCGGGGCTTTGCAAGCGGTGGGGACACGGTGGGGCCGGAGAGGTCCCTTACCCACGGAGAGGTGGTTCGCAGGGCTCAGCACCTGCTTGGCCAGTGCTATGGATGCCTTTTTGTAGCCACTCGCCCTCTCCAAGCAGAGGCCCAAGGTGTCCAGGCTCATGCTGTACAGCGTGGTCTTCGGGACGCCAGTCTCCTCTGCAAAGCAAAGCACGGATGGTGAGCCCACGTGTGGGGATGGACATCAACCCCTGTCCCTGGGGGGATCCCTCCATCCCTTCACGCCGTACCCAGGCTGGTCATCTCCTCCTCCGTTTTCTCCTGCAGGATGTGGAGGAGGTCGACGGTCTTCCCCAGGGCCTGGACGTGTTTGGGGTCCTGGCAGGAGGAGAGGAGGGCGAGCAAGTACAGAGCCACCTGGCCCGAAGTCATGTCTGCAGGGACAAGAGAACAGCCGGGGCTCGTGGGGGGGCCGTGAGCTGGCACCCCGGTTCCTGGCCAAACCTGCGGTACCGGCTGTGCTGGGATGGGTTTGCCGCAGTGGTGGTGCACCCCCTACCCGTTCTTTACCTTTCTGGGCTCTCTTCACAGCCTCCTCCTTTATCTCCTGGAGCAGCCACTTGTGGGTGCTACTGTTGGTGGCCCCCGCCAGGTTCATGGCCAGCAGGACGCTGGGGTTCGGCGGCTCGTCCATGTTGACGGAGTCCTCCAGACGTTGCAGCATCTCAGAGACCAGTTTGTCCGGGGCAACTGGAAGGAGAGGGACTGGGCAACCCTGCTGGCACTCGCGGTGGGATGTCACCGGGGACCCCACATCCCCTCCACGCAGCCCCTCGCAGGGCTACCGGTCTCTCCGGTGCCTCCGCGGGAGGGCTGACACTCACCGCAGCTGTGGGCGGCCGCGCTGCCCACCAGGGCCAGCAGGACCCCGATGCCAAAAGCCACACCGAGCATCCTCTTGGTGGCAAGCAGGTCCACTCAGGCTAGCAGAGCCCTGCGGGCACTCGTCTCTCCCGGTGTCCTCTCCGCTTTTAGCTGCTCCCGGTGCCCTTCTGCGGTCCCCCGCCCTCCCACAGCCGCCCTGGCGCCGCCAAACACCGCCGGCTTATCTGTGTGCCCGAGGGTGTGAGACGGAGTTGGAGGGTCACAGCTGCGGGGTCAGTGATTTTCCATTTGAGGGCAGTGACGTTGCGAGGGACCGGTTGAACGTCCGCGAGTTCGTGGGGTCGGGTGGGATTCATGCCACGGCACTGGAGGAGGTGGTGGGTGTCACAACAGGACACCCCCTCCCCAGTCTGGCACCCGAGGAGGTCCCCGCCGGCTGGAATCTCACCAGCCGCATCCAAACTTATAGGAAGGGCTTGTATTTCCCCGGAAAATACAGCCCTGTTAGTTTAACATCAGTTAAAAAAAAAAAAAGATGGAGAAGGTTATCCTGGGTGCTATTGACAAGCGTTTTGAGGACAATGCCATCACAAGGCACGGTCAGCACGGGTTGACGAGGGGAAAGCCTCGTCTAACTGGTTTGATATCCTGCTACGGTAAGGTCACCCACCTTGTGGATGACGGGAAAGCGGGTGGATGTTTGTTTTCTGGATTTTAAGCAGAGCTTTTGGATCCTGTCCCTCACAGCATCCTTCTGGACAGGGTGTCCAGCCGTGAGATGAGCTGGTACAGGGTGCGCTGGGTGAAGAACCGACTGGAGGGGGCTCAAAGGGGTGGAGGGGGCTACAGGGGTGTCATGGTGTCCCAAGGGGGAGAGAGTCCGGCCAGTGCCTGTCCCGGTGTCCCCACTGTCACCCCTTCCCCTGCCTGCTGGGACCAGCCTGCTTTTGGGGCGATGGGGGCAGCGCGTAGCCAGACATTGACCCTCACCTTCTCCATCACCCCCACCTTCTCCATCACCCACCCCACCCCCCTCCAAGCAGGGACAGGGACCGGGGCTGGGGCAGGGATCAGGACCAGGGGAAGGAGCAGGGCTGGAAAAAGGACAGGGAAAGGGACCGGAGCCCTTGGTTTGCCCCTTGGGAGGAGGAGACCTCTGCGGAGATGGGTCCCAGGTGTGTGCGAGGGGCTGCGGGGCCCACCCGCCCTCCCATTGGGAGAACGGCGGCCGCCGACCTTGGCCCAGGTGTAAAAGCCATCAGTGGGGGCTGCCCCTCCTCTTCCTCCTCTTCCATCACGATGAAGGTTCTCAGGAGAAGGTGGTTCGTGCTCCTTCTTGCGGCTGCAGCCTGGGCGCAGGATGCCCTGGGGAAGGGGCTTTTTTTTTTTGGGGGGTGGGGGGGTAGTTTTGCTGGGTCTGGCTGCCCTCCCTGGGGAGGGGGAGCAGGCAATGTCCCCCAGGTTGGGCTGTTGGGTGCTCATGCCCCGGGCACGGCTTTTTACTGCGGGGTGGTGGGCATGGGTGATGCCCGGCTGCCAACGGAGGAGGACTACAGTCTCCTCTCCACCCTAAACAGGGCAGGTCTGGAGGTCAGGCTGCCTCAAGCCCCAGGTTTGGGGGTGAGAAGATGGATCCAGAGCTAAGGAAAGCCTTGGGGTGGGTCCTACATCTCCATCTCCCTGCGGGGAAACTTCAGGAGCATCATGGCCACATCGGTGCCCTGGGGCAACGGCACAAAGTGGCTCAACCCTCCAGGGCCACCTCCTTCCCTATCTCCCCTAAAGCTGTAAATGTTAAAACAGAGGGACTTGAGGGGACATCTGAGGCGGTGGCTCGCTCCCCTGGGAGCCTGTGGGTCCCCGGCGAGCTGGCTCAGCCCTCCCCTTCCTCGCCCTGCCGCAGTCTCGGTGACATGCGGCCACGCGTGGCTTTCGGTGGCGGTGCCGGCTGGCCTCCTGGGGAGCCACGTGGCCGACGGGGAGCTGACGCTGGGGTCCGGCTGCGGGGTGACCACCGCTGATGGGGGCACGTACCGGTTGGAGCATCCGCTCGTGGGCTGCGGGACCACCCTGGAGGTGAGGAACCAGGGGTGACCACGTGTCCCTGATGGAGGTGCTGCGGCAGCGTGGTCCTCCTCGGGGTGGGTGCAGGGTGGGAGGGGGGACACTGTGTCCCACAAGGGAAGGAAAAACCATGTGGGACCGGCGTGGGGGCTCCTCCACAACCACTCGTCTTCCCAGGACGTCTGTGCCACATCATTGTCACTGCACCCATGGGTTGGGTGAACTCCAGGGCTGGACCCCCGGGTCCTGCTGTCCCCGTGGGGAGGGTCCTTGGCAGCACCCGTGGTGACAACCACTCTTTGTGCGAGGGTGGGAGCACCGGTTATAGTGAGCAGGGCCACTACCGTGACCCGTAACCCGGCTCTCGCCGTGTGCCGAGGAGTTTTCTGGCTCTTGGGCATGCAGCACCCTTCCTGGGGTGATGGGGACAGGGAGGGGACACCCACTCTGAGCTGGGTGACACTTCCAGCCCCATGTCTGTCCATTCCTCCAGCTCCTCCCGGGCAGCATCCGCTACAGCAACGTCCTCCACTACCGCCCCTTGGCCGGGAGGGCCGTAGCTCGTGCCGGACCCTTTTCCCTCCCCGTGGACTGTTACTACCCCAGGTAAGCGGGAGCCCCGTGTGGCCGTGCTCCTCAACGGGACCCCTCGGTGCCGGGTCCACCAGCCCATCCCGGGCAGGAGGGATGCCCACCCAGGCGGGATGTGGCAGGTGGGGGTGCCCTGCCACCCTGTCACCCCGTCACCCCACTGGAGGATGCTCTGTGGCGCAGGACGGGCAGCGTTTCATCCGGAGCGGTCCAGCCCACCTGGGTCCCCTTTGGCTCCACCGTCGCTCACCGGAGACGTTTGCGCTTTGCCTTGGATGCGTATGACAGTGAGTGGAGGACCACCAGACCCCCTCGTTCCTCTGCGCAGGGGTGTCCCCCCTCCTTCTCCCCTGCCCGGCCGTGGCCGTGGGGCGATGCTCGGGGTAGCCATGGCCATGTA